TGTGTGTGTGTGTGTGTGTGTGTGTGTGTGTGTGTGTGTTTGTTTGTTTTCTGTGCTGAGGCTCAAACACAGGGCCTTACATTTGCTAGGCAAGTACTCTACCATTGAGCTACATCCCCAGCTGAAATTAGGCTCTGTGACTTTTCAGATTTGCTAAAGGAAATAGCTTGGGTCATCCTGTTGTAGCTTCTAATTTCTTTGTCCTTCTCTTCTCTTTGCTTTGCTTCTCTTCTCTTCACTTTCTTTCATACCAGGGATCAAACTCAGGACCTTGTGCTTGTGAGGCAGGCTTGTCACCACTGAGTTAAATCCCAAGCCCTGTAGCTTCTAATTTCTAAGCACTGTACCTAAGGACCTGGCTCATTCTCCCTGGCATTATGTTCAAGGTCCTTTGGATCAGAGCTCCAACAGGAAATAATATGCTGAATTCAACACTGTTCCACATGACTCTTCTACCATACATTCAAGTTGAGTGCATTTATAGGAGATATTATCACATTTGAGGACAATGGAAAACAAGTAGTATTTAGGAGGCATAAACACGTAATCTCATAAATGCTAGTTTTCAAATCAGTGAAATCTTTGATATGGGACTGAGAATTCTGCTCCAACTCAGGAAGGTCCATGAATATATGACTCCCAGTAATTGCAGATCCCCACCGCCATATGGGGCACTGAACTCAGAGCTTTCACACTGAGCTACATACCCAGCCCTTTTTATTTTTAACTTTGAGACAGCTTCTGGGTAAGTTTTCCAGGCTGGGCTCAAACCTGCAAGCCTTGTGCCTTGGCCTTCAAAAGTGTAAGGATTACATCTGCACCACCATGGCCTGATCACAACTTTCAAATGAAATATTTTCAGAATTTTGTCATGACATACTTGACCTCACTTCTAGGAATATATCACTTTTACTCACTGATGGCAATTTTTAGTGGTCACCATCTGTGCCCACTTCTTCTGATCCTCTAGTCACAAGTGCCTTGGTTTATTTTTATGGTCATTTCATTCATTTGTGACTGTCTTAAGATTGATTTGGCAAATTTGTTAGTGTTGAGCATAGATCTTCTACATCAAGTTGTGTTTCTTGGGGAGAACCCAAACAAAACCAGAAGAAAAGTAAATAACAACTGACACAGATATAAGCTTCCTTTGTATAAGTTTCAATATTCCTAACAGGTGTAAACAACTCTTCTAACAATTACAGTAGCTAACCTGTAATCCCAGCACCCAGGCCAAGGATTGCAGCGGTTAGAGACCAGTCTGAGCTACAAGGTGAATTCAAGACCAACCTGAACTACAGAGCCAGACCGTGTCTCATCCCCTCTCCCATAATAAATAAATAAATAAATAGCCATATTATTTTTTCCATTAAAGGTAAAATTCATCCGGGGAATTTCAGCTCACTCTGCCTGATCAAATTCAATCAATGCACTCTATTTCCTTTCCCATGATGCATCCTTCCTTCCCCCAAAACTTTTTCCTGGGAATGGCAGTAAATAGATCGAGGCATGTCCGTGCCATGCAAAGAACTAGAGCACAAATCTCAAACACAGATTTTCACGCTCCACCTCTTATGACCCCCGTGAACCACAAGGCCCAACAGTCGTGGTAGCCTCATTCCCTGACTGCATCCTGAGGCCATAAGGGGGAAGACTACAACTCCCAGGATGCTCATGCGCCCCGCCCCATTCCCCGCTCCTGCTCCCAGCTAGAAAGCGTGTATCATAGAGAAGAGGCAACATGGCTCCTGGAGGTGGAAGGAAGAAGCTTCACCCTTTTTGAAACGGTGAAGAAGAGCCGCAGGAGAGGAGAAGACGAGGAGCGATTAGAGCCCGACATCGCTTTTACCCTCCCAGCCTCTCCTGAGTCCGGTCTGCCTCACCCCTCCTCTCCGCCCAAATCCAATCTGTGGTCTCTCCCCACCCTCGCTCCCTGGCTCCTGCACCCCTCCCCTCGGGAATCCTTTTCCCGCCCCCCTCGCCCCCTGCGGAGTGCGCACGCGTCTGCCCCCAGCTTCGCGCCCAGAACGCCACCTAACCTGCTCGCGCAGTCGCTGTCTCGTCCGCCCGCTGAAGAGGCATGGGTGTCCAGGGCTTTCAAGAGTTCCTGGAGAAGCGCTGTCCTGGGGCCGTGGTGCCTGTGGACCTTCTCAAACTCGCGCGCACTGTCTCGCGCCAGCAGCAGCAGCAGCACCGCCACCACCAGCAGCACCTGCATCGCCAGCTACCACCGACAGCAGCTCTAGCGCCTGGGGCCCCACGCGCCGCCAGGGGCTCCGCTCCCCTGCAGCCGCCGTTACCATCACCCTGCTCACCACTTCCACCACCATGGCCAGTCGCAGCCCGGGCTACACCCTCCACTGCCGCCGCCGCCCCCTCCGCTGCCCGGGGCCCGGGTGCTGGTAGACGCAGGCTCGGCGCTACCGCGGCTTTACGGTGGCTATCAGACGGATTGGGTGTGTGGTGGCCAGTGGAATGCCATGCTGGGCTACTTGTCAGCGCTGTGCCAGGCTTGTGCCTATCCCGGCGGTGACGGCCTGGAGCTGGTGGTCATGTTCCCCGGCGGCCTGGGCAAAGACCGACTGGCCGAGTGGGGCCGTCGGTGCCAGGCTGAGCGGCAGACAGCGCAACTGATCGTGGGACACGTGGGCAACAAGGGCACCCCTCCACCACGGGCCTGGTTCCTGCCACCAGCTTGCCTGAGCCACTGCGTGAGGCTAGCACTCATCCGCTTCCGGGTCAAGGTGAGGGAGGGGCCGGATTTTAAATTACATGCCCCACACCTATTACCTACCAATTAAACACCTAACCATCCACCCACTTAACCTACAAACCACTCATTTACCTGCCTCCTATTTATTCATCTATCGAACCAGCCAACCTACCTGGCTAATTACCCTCAGTCATTATATGTACCTACCTCCATTCCTTGCTCATACCCCCCCCACCTATTCACTCACCTCTCTATCCATGTCATCCTAGTAGCTCTCTTTACTTTCACTTATCTATTTGGCCTCCTTCTAGGTTTTAGCATAATTTAGAATTTCTTTTGTAGCCTCACCTTTCTCCTGCTATATTATCTCTCAAACTGATACACCTTTTCCCTCCTTTTTCCAGTTGACAACTCCTTTTCCCAACCTCACAGCGAATCTGTTAAATAGATGTTAATTGAATATCTTTCTTCTGTATTTTTTCTCATTTTAACCTATTGATACTTTTTACTCATGTATTCATTCAACCATTTTCATGTCAACATACCTGTATCTCCTGCCTTAGCCTGAAATGAATAGACAAAACACCCACTGATTAAGTCACTCTTCAGCAAGTATTAACCCATTGAGTTGAGTTTGAAAGATGTGCGACATTGTTCCTCCCTGTGAGAAATCAAATACACATGGAACATTTACTCATACAAATGTGTACAACGACTATGCTTTTGGTACAGACAGTAAGTACAGTACCTGTTTTTTTATGTGGGGGGAGGATACCTATGGACCAAAATGCTCAGGGGAGAAGTCAGACCCCACCTGGGTCTTCAAGGATGGGTTGGATTTGAAGAGGTTGGGTTTGGAGAAGGTTGGTCTAAGAGAAAGAAAACAGAACCAAAAAGGAATATCAAGTGTGTGAGACCCCACGGCAGTTAAATCCACTTGGCATGTAGTTGGGTCACTGCATATGGGGCCTGGGGAACAACTTGGCAGCATCCCCAGTTCTTGGCACCATTGCTACTGCTCTCTTGCTTTCCCATACTCTTAGGTTGCAAGTTCCTACGTGTAGGGAATAGTAAGGCTTGAGAAGTAAGGAGGTGGGCAAGAAGAAGAAAAGAAAAAGTGGTACAGTGTTGGGCAGGATGAAACTGCAGACCCATTCACCAACCAAGGTTCTTGGGGTTATCCTCACAGGACAGGAGGACTGGGACACAAACTAAAGAAATGGTGTCTTGAGTAATGAGGAATGAAATCTCAGCTGAGAGACTGAAAGACCTACACAGAGAAGCTCCCAGTAGTTACAGAGCTTGTGGCCAGAGTCCGTATGTGCTATACTCAGTGCCCAGTGTCAAACCTGTGCTTCGACTGGATAGATTATAACTTCTTTAATTTAGAAATCCAGTTGTGGGCTGGGGATGTAGCTCACTAGTAGAAGATATGCTTACCATACATGAAGCCCTGGATTTGATCCCCAGCTCTATGAAAAGAAATCTAGTAATGAGCTAACTTACACACGAGATAAAATATAACAGAAACCCACTTGCTTGCCTTCCTGACTGAACATTTTAAAGTAGATTCTTCATTTACGGCCATTCTTTCCATTTGTTTGCACTGCTACCACCTGGGCTTTAAGGACTTTTTACCTTATTAACCTTGTTGATGGAACACAGTGTGTGTGTGTGTGTGTGTGTGTGTTTGGTGGCACTGAGGGAAAGCTAGGACCTTAAGCATGCTAGGCAAGTGCTCTACCCCTGAGCCCACTCCCCACTGTGTGCTTGTTTTATTAAGTTAGTGTCTCATTAGGTCCTCATAATCTCCTGTGAAGCATTATGATCCCTATTTTCCAGTGAAGAAATTTCAGGCCCAGGAGCTTTAGAAATTTGCCCAAAGTCACCCAGCAATAGTGACAGACAGAGCTGGAATTCTGGGATCCCTGCCCATGCAGTCTGGCTCCAAAGCTCATACTCTTAACAATGCTCTAAGATGAATTTTTCCAAAGTGTCACCATGTTTAGATCATCTCCCTACTCTTATTCCTCAGCTCCTGGGAAAACGTACATTTACAGCTTTCATTGATACTTTTCCTTTACTGAGTGCTCACTGTAGGCTAAGTGCTGTACTGGTTTCTGAGGACTCAGAGATAAACAAGGGGATTCTTGCCCTTGAGGTCAGGGTTTAGTAAAAGAGACAACAGAGCAGATATTATGTGGTGCTTGCAAATGATAAAGAATGTAGCCCCTATAGAAGACATTGTTAATTCTCTTTGAGTGGCTGAAAATTGAGAGAGACTTCACAGATTGATGCTGAGCCACCAAGAGAACTAAGCTTAGTACAGATAGGGAACAGGGATGTGGAAATCTAAGATGGCCATTTGTGAGCTTTCAATAGATTTTGATTGTAAGTCAGCAAGGGAGATGAACACAGTATGGGTTTGTGGTTTCCATACTTTTTTGTTAATGTACCTCAGTCAAGATTTTCGAGAAGCCACTCTATGATATTCACACTCTATACAAGTATTTAAAATTCCAGCAGTAGCTAGTCACAGGTACACGGGCTTTCAATTCCGGCTACTGCAGAGGCTGAGGCAGGAGGATCCTTTGTGCCCAGAAATTCGAGCTCAGCCTGGGCAACATAGTGAGATCCTGTCTCTTACATGATTAAAAAAAAAACCCAGCAGTTCATTGAAAAAGTAAGGTGATTTGGATGATGGATGGGTAGGTGATGCATCAACTACAGTAAAAAAATGATAGACTCTCAGTAGTGAGTATTCAGATGTTTGCTGTAAAATTACTTAAACTCTGGTGTATATGTGAAGTTTCTCATAATAAAATGTTGCAAAATTCTGAACAGTCCTCTTCAGTCCTGAAAGTCATTGTTTGGGGAACATATAAATATTTTTAATTTTTTGAGACAGTCTGACTGTGTAGCCCAGGCTAACCTTGAATTTGCAGTGATCCTCCTGCCTTGGCCTCCTGAGTGGCTGGGATTATAGGCATGGGTCACCATGCCCAGTGTGGAATATATAAATCTTTTTTTTTTCCTGTACCATGGATCAAATTCAGAACCTTATGCTTGCAAGGCAGGCACGATGCCACTGATCTAAATCTCTGGCCCAATAAATCTTATTCCTTGTGCTGGATTATAAACAAACTCTTGCCTTTTCATATTCTTCATAATGGCCTATATACTTTGGCTACAGGATTTCGTTTTTAGGTCAGTGATCCTAAGAGAGTGAGTTGTAGGAATGACAAAGTGTGACTCTTAATATAGTGAATGTAAGATTGGCTCCAAAATTGCATATATAAAGTATTTCTTGAAGTTGTCTGTGAAGTTTGTTCTCGTGGTTGTAGTTGACTTTCTGTGATAAAGAACTTAATTTTAGCACAGACTTGAAAGGTATTGATTAATAATTGATTATGGTTTGCTTTTTCAGAGGAATATTCTACTATCTTCAAGGCAGCAATTTTTCACTTGAATGACTTGCTTGTGTTCCTGCTTTTCATTTGACTGAATTTTAGTGCTTCAGAGCAAAACCCACTACTGGATCCCTGCCCTCCTTGATTTTGTTCTGAGGGCTAGAGCACAAGATGGGCTTTTATTCCTAGTCTCATTTTCATTTATGATAGAGCATATAGAGGTGGCGGGGTTAAATAAATTGCTGGTTGTCTGTTTAGCATTAGACAGCTTAGGACAGTGGTGGCAAATCTATGGCATGTGTGCTGTTGGTGAACCTTTTAGAGCTTTCAGTGATAACAGTCACTGACAATACTATAGAAAGATTTAGTATATATTGTTGGAATCCGTTTTGTTATTTGGTTTGTTTTGGTTATGTGCTCTTTGTAAGTAAAAATGGCCAGTGGCAGGAAAATTTAGCAAACCCACAAATTTCCTGATCTTCCAAAGGGTACAGAAGTAGAACAATGGTAAATAGTTTTAGACTGTGATTTTGGAGATGATGTAGCATGATGAAAGGGAAGAGTACTTCATTTAATGGTTAATGCCTAAGAGAAAAAAAGATAATCACAGCTAACCCACCATTTCACAGCTGTAATTTTTAGAATGAGTCCAATGAAATGAAATGAATTGATTTAAAGAAAAATATTAAGTTGAAGTACTTGGTCGTGGCAGAAATCATAGTGGTAGTACATGAATAACCAGACTTTAAATCTGCCCAAGAGCTGGTGTCCTTTTGTGCTTTGCTTCTTCATAAAGCAGTGGTTGATGTGCCTTCTGATTGTTTGTCTTCAGTCACAAAAACTGAAAAGCCTTCTAGGTGCTCTAGAGATTACAAAAATGGTTATACTAGTAATTACTGCTATTTCTTAAGCACCAAGTTATATATTAAATGTTTTTACACTGTGTTTTCTAACCCTTGCAACCTTGCAAGATGGAGGTAAATAAAAAAGATTTTATTATTATTGTCACAACTTATTATACAACTTTAGTATATGTACCGCTGAAGTGAATGCACAATTTATTATACAAATGTCTCTTCTGAATCTCACCCAAAACTGTTCTGTTTGCCCAGACTCCCAAGAGCTATCTCTCTTCTGAGCCTTTGTTTTTACTGCTAAATTCCTTGAATGGCTTCTTTTGTCCATTCACCTAGACTCACTCAACTTCTCTTCTGGGTCTGTGTAAACATTGCTTCCTCCTGGAAGCAGTTTCCTAGCACTAAGTATAAAAGTTTCATTTTTCAGCTTATTGGGTCATGTAAGAATTATTTTTTATTGGCATATCTTTGCAATATATAATAACTGCATTCATCCAAGGAAATTGGTAATTTGTATCTTAATCACTTGTACTTTCACTATGCCTGGTGGCCCTTCCCTCTTACCCCATCTTCAGATTCCCTTCCCATCTCAGCAGTCTACTTTCTTGTTTCCTGCCATCTCTCTTTTAGTTTCTTTAAATTATTTATAATGTGGATTTTTCACATAACAGCAACCATGTAATAACATTTTGTGTCTAATTTATTTCACTTAGCATAGTCGATGCATCCATTTCCTACAAATGACTCAGATTTATCATTTTTTA